ATGTAACTGACAAACCACTATTATAGACAGAAAAAGAAACTAATTTAGGAGATGAAAAGCTTTGATTAGAGAAAATGAAAAACTGAACAGCATTTTCAAGAGGCTCTGGTTCTGATAGTTCAGTCCCTCAAGTGGCCTCATCAATTCTGTAACAATGTACCACTCTGTATTATCTTTCTCTAAATCATACTATCAAGTGCACAAGAACAGAGTCGCTTAAGAGCTGAGTTTTTCCCACACACACACACACACACAAAAGTGGGGGGGGGAGGTAATGGAGTCAGGATTAGATACAGCAAGATCTCTAAATCCACAGGGAAAAGGTTCCCAGCCAGATTGCAGTTATCTGAAACCATGGATACAACTAAAACTAAGGCCAGATGTGGCCCTTCAATGTCATTTTTTCATCCTTATCCCTAAACTTTAGACTTGAGGTCACCCTAAGTCTGAAACAACTTGAAGGCACACAATAACAGCAATCTTAATTCACTTGACTATCTCCTCAGCCAAAAGCAGGCCCATTGAAATACTGGCAAACTTATGTTGGTTAAAATTGTTCTTCATTTTAAATATTGTATTGTTCTTTCAATGTTTGGGGTGCTCCAAATAAGATATGTGCAGTGTTCATTTTTTCCCCAAACTATAGTCCAGCTCCCCAACAGTCTGAGGGACTGTGAACTGGCCTTCTGGTTAAAAAGTGTGAGGACCTCTGTTATAGAATGACCCGGAGAACCTAGCAAATTCCTAGAGACCATTTCCACTGGGCATGGGTAAGTAAAACTGCAAATATAGATCCCACAGTTACTGGGATCTTACTGTTCTTAAATCTCACCTTTTTGTATGAGAATGTTGACTTCCTTTTCTTTCCTAAGGCAATTCACATTACTTCAATTGCAAGCCCTTCAACCATAGCAGTGTACCTGTCATAGGGAGTAAATTATATCACTAGTGAATGCCTCCAGTGTCAGTGGGACAGTGAATCTTTCCCAGGTTTGAGTCAGAAGATTAAAAACAGCATTGGACCTACCAGTGGCAGTGTTCATCAGAATGAGCTTTTTTTGAAGGAGTTTTTGTTTTGTTTGGTTGCATAAACAGCTGTGAGGTTTTGCCTTTCTATTTTCTTTACCTATGAATATTGACATTTCCCTGCTCACATGGAAAAAAATATATTCTGCAGCTTCACACTTGTTAGTGACGTGGGTGTAAGCAACTAGCAGATTCTATGCTAATGACTATGAGGTCTGCAGACATCAGGTGTACTCACCCTCTAATACAAAGTATAATAAAGAAAAACTTGTACATGCCTCTCTCTTTTTTGCAAGCTGACTTTTAGGATACCTCCAAGCACTGCAAAATAACTCATTAACTAACTAGTTGTACAAGTATGGATAGACAAGTCACTAACATATCTTAAATTTACATACAAGACAAAAGAAGTGAGGATCATGAAGAGTAAGACATGTGATAGAACCGATCTGGTCAACAGAAGCTATTCCTCCCAGTTTTCATACTACTTTAGATGGAAGTATGAGCAGATCTACTCAAACTAGCAGAGATTCCCCAGAGTTCAAGATATCAGTAATTTTGCAGTATCAAGTTTTATTTTATATGAAATTTGCTTTCAACCACCTTATTCTCATAATTCCACTTTGTCTGTAATATTTATAATCATTACCTCCTTGGCAATAGTAGGTTGATTTCAATTTTTATATACATTCATTGGTTGTATGTATGAGCAGAACACAGCTAATACAAACAATCTCAGCCTCTCCCATTTCCCCTTTATGCCCCTCCAAAACTCCAGAACAGTATAGGCTATCACAGAAATGCAGAGGGAGGGAGGAATTTTTAAAACTAGGTGGAGGAATCTTACATATACCACTGTCTGTATAATGTATGATATATAGGAATATAATATAGTTTGCAATCAATGTGCTCATAGTTAATAACACCTATCAAAACTGATCCTAAAGATATTGATGTGGTCTTAAAGATCAATTCGTTACTGCTGTAATGCAATATGGACTCCCACTAGACAGACATAACTAACTCTATATTTATACATTAGAGATTTGCCACTGTGGATTTTATAATATCATAGATAGCATTCATACATCAGATAATACTGAAGATTAAGTAAAGCAGAAACATACATTTCAGAGGCTGCATACTTCAGAATATACTTCCAGGTTTTCCCTTAGTGTCCACTATTATTCTACCATTAATGTTTGCAGTGACACTAAAATCAATGTTTCTTGCCCTTTCTTCTGGATTGGCTCATATTAATAAACTGGCTTGTCTCAGACATAGGAGACACTGATGACTATGCTTTTATGGCTTATGGTTTTAGATTATATGCTAAATGTCTTAATTGTATTTACATCTGTTTTTAATTGTATTTTATAATTGTGGAGGCATCAAATTGTTGCCGACTGTGAACTGCCCTGAGTCACCTACAGGCTGAAAAAGGCAGTATATAAATGTGGTAAATAAATAAATAAATAAATAAATAAGGCTCATGAATATGGATACATGAGATCTACTATTTCAAAGCATATAAACCAGTTGTAATACTATATCTCTGATGGGAGTAGGGCAAGCGATGTCTTCACATGTAACACTTATGATATAAATGTTACTAAATATGGCCATCTTGTATAAACAGCCATGAACCTTTCATACCAGAAACCTTATAAATTACGTATCCTGCAAAAGTACTATGAGACTTACCTATCAAACACTGGAGGACTAAGACACGTGTCAGCTTTGACAGGCCAACTACTGATACGGATCATTAGGAAGAATACTACAAGCTCTGGAAATCAGTGTTTAGGGACATTTTCCATAATAATATCTCAGATATATCTGCATGCTATTATTGTTGTGTCTGCCCAACTTGTTTCTGACATACAGAGATCCAAAAGCAAACCTATCATGCGGCTTTCTTAGCAATATTTGTTTGGAGGGTTTTTTCTATGATTTGAGGCTTGGAATGTGAGTTGCACAATGTCACCAAGTGGATTTCCAGGGCTAAAAATCCTTGTGTCCCAGAGTTGTTATATAATACTCAAACCACTACACTACACTGTCCCTTTTATCACCACATACAGATCTGTTTATATGCTTTTCTCCTAAATTACCTCAGTGGGACAGTCAGGAGAATCACTGTTGGGAAGCTGAAAGCAAAGGGAACACCTTTGACCACTCAAATAGCAGACACATACCAAGATTCTGCAGGAAATGCATACAACAGACAATCAAAACTGATGTTTCCCAGAAAGAACAGTAATAAGCAGGTTCACATGGAGAGTTAAAAGCAGCTTCTTATACCACCAGCTGAAACACCAATCTGCTCAATCTGCATGCTCACTCCACTTTTTTCATCTTTCCAATATCAACTGCCTATTCTGCAGAATTCAAAACTAGGCACAGCAGTTATGTTTCACCAACACAGCTGATTGTAAAGGCCTACAACAGCTGCCAGAAAACAAAACAAAAAAGATATACTGAGAAGACATTGGATCCATTGGGGGACTGGCAACTAACTGGAACTCACACAGAACTAATTTCAGGGCCACAACAGATTAGATCTGGATTACAGAAGACAACGCATCTCCTCCCCCTCTCCCCCCAAAAAAACTAAGGAAAAGAAAAAATTACAGATGACAAATCTAGAGGACCAGATAGAAGAAAAACGAAGGGAGCATGGGAGATGTGAGAGGCAGAGTACCCCAAATAGTTGGGGAAAGAAGCTAAACATCCCTTTTGGTTAAATGTCAGACCACACTTCCAATATCTGGAAGGCAACTGGGAAATATGGTTACATGGAGGAGCTTTGCAGATTAAAGCCACAGAGAAGAACATAAGGTAGAACAGTGGCATTCAATCTTTGATCCTTTTCAAGAATTCTTGACAACTTGTCAAGTCAATGAGGAGTTCTGAGAACTGAAAATCAAAACACTTGAAGGAGCAAAGTTTGAGAATCATTGAAGTACCCAGTAGTGGAAGACAGAAGGGCTAAGTAAGCACTCGGGTTAAGGCAAATGGTAGCCTTAAGTACTTATCCCATTCCCAAAACAGCCACCAGCCCATGAAACAACATCTGATTGTATATACATCTGTTTGGTATAATAATTTTAGTAATAATGTGCAACCAAGGGTTTCAAAAAGTATAAGCTTAGCTCTCTAGGACTGAATGATGCAACTACTGTAAATATGCATAAGGTGTTGTTAAATAGCTGTGTAAATCTGTTTCAGTATGAAAAGGAAATTGAAGAGGAAGGAATCCAACAGCTCCTTTAAGACCAGGCCATCTATTTCAATCCACTTTTTAGGACATACTAATGAAGAAGTATGACTGCTCATATTAAGATATGTCAGCCTTGAAGGTACTGCTAGAGTCTTTCCTCCTCCATTTCTTTTTTGTGATAAACAAGGTGAGGCTTCACTTAATAGTATTCGTATGTTGGTATTAAAAATAGGTAACACATGAACAGGTTCATTACAATTTTTTGTTTAAGCAGCTCGTCTAAAACCTAAACATCACTGTTGCATATGACCACTTTAAAAACATGCCATTTGGGAAAAGGAATAATAAAGAGTGAATACGAATCACAGTTGATTGTGTTAGCTAACAAAACATAATTTTTAAATGACTTTTATACAGAGGACTACAAAACACTGCATGATAAAAAGAACAGAGAAGGAAGGCTATAGGTCAGTAGCTGAACAATGCTCTGTACACAAAAGACAGATCTCTGCTTGACAGTTATGGAGAACTACTGCCAGGCAGTACTAAGGAACTAGCTGAGCTTGGAAATGTTACTTTTTTTGTTTGAGAACATGCTGGAGGTTCTGGGACCTGTATTCTAGAATGTAACTTTTCCAAGCTGTGGTTTACGGATTAAGTGCATACAATTGCTTCTCAACAAGTGACAAGAAGACTATGAAAGCAAACTTCCATAGTATCATGAAAAGGAGACAGAGTGTTCATATTTTACCTTATTAATGTCTACACATTCCAGCTTTGATACTTCTGCTGTTTCTTGCTCTTCACTGCTTCCTTCATCGATGTCACTGTCTTCATCCTGAGCAGAGTCCCTCTTCTGCCCCCCTCCAGAAACCCTGATGCCCTTTTTGTCACTTTCCATTTCTGCTGCTGGGCTCCCGGTCACAGTGGCTTTTCTCTGCTCTGCACCATCTTCATTCAGGAATGTCTCTCCCGCCACACTGCAAGAAGGGCTGTCAATCCCACTGTCCCTATTGGGAATTTTGCCATTTCCATTCAGCTCAGCTAAAGAGTCCTTATGGGCTAGTTCTTCCATAGGCACTTTGCTGACACTCCCATCAGTACAGTCTTCAGTGCTTGTGGTATCATCTATATTTAGTTCTTTAATTTTCATTATGTCGGTATTAGACATCTCTGTGCTGCACAAGATGCCAGACTCATTCTCATCTCGTTCTTTACTTTCACTCGTAGAAGCAGCACTGGAAGTTTCCACATCAGAGGCATTTGGGCAGCTTCCAGAGTTTCTAGAAGGGTCCACTCCAGGTTCCATCTTAAAAGCTAAATTATACTGGTTTCTTTGAACAACATGGGTAGGCTGTCTGCAAATGAAAATAAAAACTGTGTGAATAGCCTCATGTGACAAATTCCAGAGCTACTGCCTGAACCATATATTTTGCAAATGGCACTGCTAGTTAAATCACTAAAGCATTTCAGATCACAATCTCTGAGTGGTAAACTCCCAGGAGAAGTTCTTTGAGGCTGAGTAAGGTATCTCAGAAGTTTGTTTTGCAGCAAATCTTCCAATTTGTTTCTAATATATGCATTTCACCACCATGAGGGCTCCCATCTAAATTTTCTTACTGAAGCCTCAAAATATCTTTGGCTATGTCTTTTAGCATGGGATAAGAGGAGCAAATGATCACTGAAGTTATCTTTTAAGAAGTTCTGCAAATATAATCAGTCAGAATGGCTGCTACAAATATTCATCACACAATTACATTCAAACAAAATCCTATGCACATTATAATTCAGTTTTTAAGGGAAATGGAACAAATTAAAGCCATACATTTGTGATTTTAACCATTTTGGGGAACTATATTGAGGAAGTAGCTGTATTCATTGGAATTAACCTTAAATAGTAATTTACAGACTGTTAAAAGACAACGCAAGTATATTTGTCCTCATAAAAAAACCCCACAACATCCAATGAGATTGGAGTCATAAAAACATTATATTTATTGAAAAAATGATACTAAAAATAGATTCATAAGTTTGTTGGTTTCTGACACATTTTAACCCCTGCCATTTTTACAGGAAAAAATGTCAAAGTTTAATTATATAAATTGTTGTCTAAGCAAACTACAGGCATGCACACATGTTTTAGTGTAGTGATTGTCTTCTTCAGTTCCTAGTTGCCATTATGTTATGTGTAATGAAATTCAGAATATGAAAACCCATACATTTTAACTGATATGTGAACAAACCCTCTCCCAAACAAAAGATTCCCCCAGGCAGGAAGCAGACAGGCTTTGAAACTGCAAGGCTATTCAATGCTAATCAAGGTGGCCAATTGCAAGATTCACACTTCTTCAAATGGACAAGACTTCTTTCTCCCACCCTGGACATTCCACAGGTATATAAATCTCACTACCTAGTTTCCAACAGATCTCACAACCTCTGAGGATGTCTGCCATAGATGTGGGCGAAACGTCAGGAGAGAATGTTTTTAGAATATGGCCATATAGCCTGGAAAACTCACGGCAACACAATATATTTATTAAGTCATTCACCAATAAACTATCATCCATTATTAGTCAAATTTTCAAAACTCTCCACAAAGTTTAACATAATATTTGCTTCTATTAGCGGTCTATATTATAACAAACCTATACACGATTTGATGTACTTCAACACTGTGTATCAACAGCTGTTCAAATGCGATTTACCTTTAAGCTATTATTTAAAGAAGAGATGATGATGATGATGATGATACCAAAAGTTCTTACCTAATGCTTTCAAACTTTTCAATGAGTCTGTTAATGTCTCCTGAGGTCTGTGTTATTTCTTCTTCAGGCACTAAATTTCTTGAGGACTTGGGATTTGCTGGCAAAGGCCTAGATGGTGCCGGAGGAATCTTCTCCTGTAAAGCAGGCTGGAGATGAACAGGCTTAGGAGGTACTAAAAAAGAAAAACAAAACCAAGTACTGCTCCATCTTGAACAAGAGCAAACCTATTTGCTCCAATAAAAATTTGAAATGATTACTGCTTTACTACAGAGAAAGCAATGTAACATAACATTACCTTTATAGATGAAAACCTTTCTGAGAAAAAAACGTACCAGCCTTCTTCTTTACATTTTGTTAAGTTGTTCAAAAACTTGAAGAATGTAACCACTTCCTTGTTGCCAAACAGGATGCACAGTGTATTCACAGAGACAGTATATTTTGCAAAAACTCCACCACAACCCTCAGTACTGAACTGAAGACTTTTGAACACTAGTGGCTCAATTTTTTGAGTTCTGTTTGATTAATATACGGAGCAAAATCTATAGAGGTAGTCTAGATTTTATCTTCTCCAAGGTTTTGCTTGTCGAAATTCAGAAAGGTAATTATAAGCAGTCCAGTTTTTGCTTCTTTTCCCCTCTCATATCTCTTTATGGTACAATCTGCATTAATTTCCTTCCTCTTTTACTGTTGAACTGAAACAAAGTACTTAGACATGTGTTCCTGTCTAATATTTAAGAGAAAAGGAACACAACACCTTTGGTCATACAATAGTACCCTTTGGATACTGCAGATCATATGAGTTCCTCAAACTGTTTGTGTGTAAATTGCCCCCTCCCCACACACACACACATGAACATGCAAGCAGTACTCCATAGCAACACATGTGTGTGAGACATTCATTTACTACAGTAAAGGCAACTTAATATAACTGGCCCTTTAATGAGATACTGACAAATTGACTTTGGATATTTAATCCCAGCTGTTCATGCCCTTCAGCCATTGCAAGCAAAATCCACTCATGTTCAAAGTGCTTACTGACGAAAAGTCTGCAAGTGAAACATTTTTGAACTCACTCTATTGCATCAGGTACAACAGTGTATTGAGTACAATATAATCTTTTTGCAAAAGAACATAAAAAATCCAAAACTCTTGAATTAAGTGTTTCCTATATTGAAAAGAGAGGTTTCTTAAGAACTTGTAGATCTGTTCTTCACTAAAAGCACATGAAGTGTATGTTCACATGCCATGTAAGAGTCTCATCCGAAGAGAAGAACAAGAAATTAAGGCATGGTTTGTAACATTCGTAAAGAGAACTATCACAGTAAAATGGAAAGTTTGTGACTTGCCCAAGGTCACCTAGCACGTTTCCATGTCTCCATGGCTTAGTGAAGGTTTTTTTATTTATCGTGTCAGAAGCAAATTGAGGGTACAGTTATAATATATTTAAAAACACAAACAATGTTAAAAATTTTGCATTAAGCTAAATGTCCTTTGACTAGAAGCTGGCCACTTGAAGTGCCTCTGGTGTTGCTGTAAGAAGGTCCTCCATTGTGCCTGTGGCATGGCTCAGGTTGCATTGTAATTGGTGGTATGTGGTTTGCTCTTCTCTGCACTTGAATGTTGTGGACTCCACTTTGTAACAAAATTTCTTAAGGTTAGTTCTGCATCTTGTGGTGCCAGAGGGCAGCTTGTTCAGCACCTTCCAGGTCGCCCAGTCTTCTGTGTGCCCAGGAGGGAGTTTCTCATTTGGTATCAGTCACTGATTGAGGTTCTGGGTTTTAACCTGCCACTTTTGGCCTCTTGCTTGCTGAGGTGTTACTGTGAGTATCTCTGTAGGTCTTAGGAAGCTATTTCTTGATTTAAGGCATTGGCTTGCTGGCTGATATCTGAACAGAGATCACGTTGGAGATGTCAATGCCCTGGTCCTTTCATTACAGGCTGCTATTTCCCAATGGATGTTAGGTGGTGTAATACTGGCTAAGCAGTATAATTTCTCCAGTGGTGTTGGGCGTAGACACCCTGTGATAATGTGGCATATCTCATTAAGAGCCACATCCACTGTTTTAACATGAGATGTATCCACACTGGGCATGGGCAAGGGTTCAAATCCTGGTTTCCTACAGTCCAGCACATTGACTCCTACTACTATAAAGCCTCCTACACATAACTGCATTAGTATGAATATACCATAGTAAGGAAAAGTACTGTATTAGGAAGAAGCAAAATAAAAGCATAACAACAGTTGCCTCAAATTATCATTTTTCATTGCAATTAGAGAAATCTTCATTCCAGGGCCTTGACAAGACAGAGTGGATCAACAGTCTCTGCCTAAAAGACCCTATTCCAGCAGATGAGCCTACAGTCAGGCAACTCATCCTGTTGAAGTTCATCAAGCATGATTTATTCCCTGGTAATCTGAGGTCAAGTCCAAAAATGCCAACCAAGCAGGTAAGAGGCAAAACTAGGCAATATGAGTTCCTGAAACAGCAGAATGAAGAAAAAAAGAAGACGTGCAAAAATAGTGAATTGGATAGGATTTCTGTAATATGTTTGTAGGTTACTGATTTAAATTACTATATTTTTTTGCACTTTAACTGAAAGCACACCTTTTCAAGAATTTGAATGTCCTGCCTACAATTTTAGCTTTTCATAGATAACAAGAGTTTAAGGGGGGAGTTATTTTTATCATAGAATAATTTAAAAATATGACAATCAGTGTTAGAAAAACTATATGCAAACTAATATCTCCACCTTATATATGAAGATCTTTTGTCTGAACAGTAAGACCAACTATGGGGTGATGCATTGTCTAAAACAGTGGTTCTCAACCTATGGTCCATGGATCATCAGTGGGCCACAAGAATTAAAATATGCTCCGTAGCCTTACCATTACTACACCCTTGCAACAATAGCGACTGGTCTTATGAAACCTTCTTATAGTGCTGAGACTTATTAAATATGATTTTCTGTGGGTGAGCAGATGGCGACTACTGGATGGCATATGTTCTGTATCAGAAACTAGAGTCGATGTGGTTTATCCAATGCAATTGTCTGAAATCAGCACCCCAAATAACCAAACCAAATCTTAAGTTGACCAAAAACAGATTTGCAACCCTTTCGGTACTAATGTTGGAGAGTGGTCCCTGGTCAAGTGGTCCCTGGTCAAAAACAGGTTGGGAACCACTGATCTAAAATTACTACAACAAAACCTTAGCATTAATATTGAAAGAGATAAATTACAAACCTTGGGGTTTTGACAGAGGGTTTTTCTTGGCCAGATGCGATTTAGTTTTAGGCTTTCTTCCAGCTTGAAGAGTACATTGCACAGGATCAACACACTGCAATTCACATGTTTCATGCACTGTCCTTGACTCAATGTGGCCTTTGATTTCCAGAGAAGGGTGAGGGCAACCTGGAATAAAGGAATGAGTTCATGTTATTCTTTCCTTTTGCTGGAATACAAGGAGAAGAGATCCTTGCACTAACTATGCTGATAAGAACCATGTGTTTCAAAGTCATCAATTTAAATACATGTATCCCTGTTATCATCAAACACAATGCAAGGCCCTATCCTAATGTTCTTTCATGATTAATTTCTTCAAGCAGTCTATTATGTGCTCTAACTCTAAATGACTATTTGTATAACCATATTATTTTAAAAACATTCAGAGGACTGTTGAAAGGTTCAGCATGGAGACAGTGAGACAAAGGAACATGTGCTCTACTTGAGTGAATAGGAAAGTACTAGCTCGGATGAGATACTCAAGGTTGTTAATCTGCCAGACTAAAAAGATGTACAAGTGACAGTAGACTGCTTCATACACACACACTCCACTATATATGTGGAAAGAGAAACACATAATATTCAAATTCGTGTTCTAACTCCAATAACAGTTTGCTTTTGGTACTCTTTTACAATATTGTCTCTACTATCAGAAGCTAACACCTAGGCATATCAAATCTATTTAGGTTAAAGGCACATGGTTTAAAGTACTATGAAATCATCATTACCCCAGAGGACATTTTGGAGCAATCTTTAATTCCAGAGGGTGTGTGTGTGTGGGGGGGGGGTGTTCTGGGAGGCACAAAACCATAAATAAGTAAACAAAGGAATTTTTAAAGGGAAATTGTTGCTCAGGAACAGAGAAAAGTAGCAAAAGTTCTAGGACATAAGATACCTTTCCTTTCAAAAGTTTGGTATTGCTATAAATTCCACCAAAGGTTATGGGTGGAACCACATGGGAAGCTGCCTTATAGTGTCACATCATTAGTTGCTCTATTCAGTATTTGTAAATCAGCAGCAGGAATACACAATTTATATCAGACATCTTTCCCAAGCTATCTAGAAATACCAAGAACATGGGACCTTTCTCAAGCAGGTCATGTGTTATGCTACTGAGCAACTAGCCCTGGGCAAAGAATATGCTGATCACAGTAATGTAGTGTAAACTAAACTCCATGTTATTTTTAATAAAAGGCTAGCTGTATAACACAAGGGGTTTAAAAAATGCAAAGGAACCTGATCCAAATTTCAACCCTAACACAGGAATAATAATTGGAAGTTAACTCTTTGCCCCTTGGTTTGAATTCAGATTGGAACTCTTGCATCTGTTATTAATTTGCCCAATGAGGAGAGGAGGCACAATAACTTCAATTTTAAAAAAATCCCTCCTCCTCCAAAAATAGCAAGGGTTGGAAGGAAAGCTCCCCTCTCTCATGCTTCAGGGTCAACATCCAGGTTGAGTTTAAAAATCAATTAATGTACTTGATTGCTACACATTCAATACAAGACACTGTGATATAGGCAGAGAGAAAAAACAGGAAATTAACTCCCAAACGGCTGTGGATTCCATTACTTTAATTCTAATGATATGTTATTGAGGTTGAGAAAGTAGTCAGGTGTATTAAAGTAGCCTGCAGCTACAAACACTTTTAATCCTGAGAGAGGCAAAACCAATACAAGCAGTCCCCAAGTTACAAACAAGATAGGTTATGTAGATTTGTTCTTCAGTTGAATTTGAATGTATCTGTATGGAACAGATAGATTCTTTAAGTGTAACTCCAGTTACACACACACACACACATTTTGTGTGTGTGTGTGTGTATGTGTGTGTGTGTGTATGTATGTATGTATATATATATATATATATATATATATATATATATATATATATATATATCCTTGAAGTTACTGGCTTGACCTTGAAGGAGCTGGGTGTGGTAATGACACTAAATTGGTCCCACCCAGCCCCCCACTCCCAATGTGATGTGTTTCCACCAATATGTGTGTAAACTCAAATATAAAAAGAACGGTCTCTGCCACCTTTTTCCCCCCAAAGGAAAACAAGCTAGTGAACTGTTATGTCCATGAAACTTTCTCCCAATTTGATGAAATGGACAGTCCTAACAATGGGTTTTTATATCCTAAAGATGAACTGCTTATTCATATGTGACATCAATTTAAATAACCACCACCATAGCTTTTATCTCAATTTTGAGAAATAATCTGTTTGTAGCACACATGCTCTTCAGGAGTAATTTCCTGTCATCATGATTTGGGTTCCTCTGACTAATTTAAAGGCTGTTCTGCCCTTCAAAAATTGTTTACATACCACTTCTCTGACTGCAAAAATTGGCTGCTGTGAGATTAACCATCCAGAGCGTGAGCACACTGTAAGTTAGCTGAGGCACTTTGAAGTCAAATAAATACGTGCAATAGTTTTTTGTATGAAAATGCAAATCCAGTTTTATGAAATCATCAAATTCAATTGCAATAATCTGACAAAAGCATCCAAGAAACCTCTAATGTCAGTTCTTTAAACATCAGTACATTCATCACCATAGTTTGAAGGTATTTTTCACTAGAAATCGCAATTTTGTGCATCCTTATTGTATTATACAACTCACTGTATCCAATGAAACTGATTTCAATCTATATTTGTATACACAGCCTTAGGACTTCTATAAAGTGGTAAGTAAGGCACCCAAAGGACAAAAAAAAATCCATTATCTCAGCCTCTCGTCTATCCAAAAGCATCACAGGGCACCTGTGTGAAGTACAAAGGAAACCAAATTTTCTCCTGATTTCTTCTTTCCGTAAAAAGATTGTTTGCTGAATATGGGGGGGGGGGGGGGGGGGGGGAAGGGAATGATAATTCCTTTCATTGCAAGTAATGGGAAGGAATTCATTTAGACCTATTTGATCATGGATCTCAATGTTCCTGAAAAAGGTTTTTGGACATAGCAAACTGAGGTGTCATCCTAAAACATGTGTGGTTTGGTCTTTCTGCCTCTTTTGACTGAAGGGATGAGGGTCTCCTGTAACCTAAATGGTGATGAATTGTGATTTCATTTGATGACTTGGCCTTATGTATTTATATGATTGCTTTTAATGTATTTTATATATTAGCGTATTATGGGGTATGATATTTTAACTATTGTTTATGAATCTTTGTTGTAAACTGGCCTGAGTCCCTCTCTGGAGGTCGAGAAGACCGGTATATAAAAGTTCTAAATAAATAAATAAATATTTGTTTCAAACTCCCTCTTATCACTTCTGGTTGCCTAGGCTGCCAACTATTGATTAACAAGCATGATCCAAACAGACAGAATTATTTTCAAGACTCCATATCAACACTCTTAGAGACTGGAATCTCAGTTCACCCCTGAAGTATTGCAGGTCCTCTAAAATTGGCTCCCTTTTGTAAGGAAAAATATTGAGTAAATAACCATACAATGCAATGCAATAACACAAAATGGCAATTTTGTCTAGAAATATATAGGAATATTCAGGGAACCACATCAGAAGACTTCACTCTCTCTGGGAGGGGAAAGGAACGGATCTCCTTATCCAAGTTCAGAGTTTCTTCTACAACTTCAGAGAGGGAACTGCAATTGAATAATATGCCCCAGAATCACATACACAGGATTATAGATTTACAGACTTAGCAAATAAAATGAGTGAAATATGGAACCACATTCATCCTTTGGCCTAGACTATCTGCAATTTAATAAACTCCTTGTTACTCTATAAGTCAATGAAGTTTCTAGACTGAAATCACTAGCATAACACTATTCTACTAAATATATAGAAATTACTGAGACAAAAGATAATAGCCTGAAGTTAAAATAGTTGCAAGAAATAACCAATGGCTAATGCCATGTCCAAAAGAGACATGGCATTAGCTTGAGCAACTGTATGTTTCTATATATATAAAAGCACTAAACCATAGACAATACCTTTTTTTTAAAAAAAAAAAGCATTAAAAACACGTCTTTGAAGTCTGACAAAGCTTCACTTTGTTGCTTTCAGGCCAACAACACTGTGAAGCAATTACTTCTTCCCAATAATTAATTGTAAATAATGTTAATAAAAGAGTCCTATTTATTGTGGCAAAAACTTCAATGGTTAAGCCTGCTTGATCAAATGCACAAAGCGTTAGCTGCAAAATACACTATGCATCAATTTGATGCCACATAGTGACAGAAGGAAGGTAATTTTTAAATAATGAGGCCATGTGGCACGGAATTACAAGACATCAGTGTGTGCCATTTCCCTACAAAACTCTAAATCACTCCGAATTAACAACAATACAAATAGTATTTTATACAAACATTAAATGAGCTAATAAAAATACCTTGAAAGTCAGACCAGCTTCTGACATAATAAAGTTATGGTCTCTTTGCTCACTGACCCTGACTTTTGCTGCCGAACAATAATAGTGCATATATGTCAGTTGGCAAGTCTGAAATCTCCAGATTTGTTGGACTACAACCTCCAATTATCCTGATTTGGGTTCATAGTCCAAAATATCTACAGTGCACCAAATTGCTTGCTCCTGCCTACACAGGCAATCTAATTTGATTTATTTCATCTCAATGCAATTCTACTTTACTAACCTGCTCAATAGAAAAAGAGAAGGTGCCATAGGCATATAGTGTATTGTAGAGCCAGTCTTGTTTATGGACTCAGGAAATTACCACGTTCCTGGTAGATGTTTCTGAAAAGAGAAACTTTAATCTCTACTCACATCTCCTTTCTGCTTTCACAGCTCCATTCTTTTCTTCTGATTAGAGAGATGGTGGCTTATAGGGGAAAGACAATCATTCCTATTCCCATTTACAAGACTTACTAAACATTATTAGAAAAGTTAAAAGACTCATAAACTATTTTAATACAGGCTTTCCACCAACTTTAATCTGTGATCCAAGGCAGTAAAGTAACAGATATATTCTGGATAGATATGTAAAACTGGCAGTTAACATGGGATGATATGGTGTATTTAAGACACCCAATTCTGGGCTTGAGCTATGAATATTTGTGTCTATACCATCTTATTGATAAAAATGAATCAATTCCCTCTGTCAATGTATGTTAACTTTGCACATCGAATAAAAGAAAAGTATGTATAT